GCATGTGAAGTGGCCTTGTGGCCTTGAACTTGTGCTCGGAATGTGTGGTGACTTTGTGATCCACTCTGAGCTTGCTTTGCTTTGCTTGACTGGTCTTGTGACCCCTTGTTCTCCCCCACTTTGCCTATGGGGGTGTGTCAGATTTTTATGACATAGCTTCTGTAGGCTATAGTGGGGTAGCACATATGGGGTACAGCTTTCTAGGGTTTGTACTTGTACCCAACTTTCCCTTAGTCATTTCATTCCTCGTAATTTTCACAGTTAAATCGAACACACAACCTTTGGATCCAGAGCCTTGATTCCAACCATTGTGCTAATTCGGACGGAAACCGTGTTTGTTGTATTTTATACATAAAATTATTTTACAACGAAGGAGGTGGTTAGGTTTTCTTCCCTTCTTTCTTTTCCTTTCTAGTATATAGGTAAGAGAGTAGCAGCAGCAGCAGCACTAGGGGCATGACGAGCAAGTTTTACCCGTATGAAAACCCTAAAATGTTTGTACCCTATATTGTCTACCCCACTATAGCCTACACAGACTATAGCATATAAGTTTGACACACCCCCATAGGCAAAGCGGGGGAGAACAAGGGGTCACAAGACCGGTCAAGCAAGACAAGCTCAGGGTGGATCACAACGTCACCACACAATCCGAGCACAAGTTCAAGGCCACAAGGCCAGTTCACATGCAAGATTATATATAAAGGTAAACAAGCAAGTGCAGGTATAGACAGATCACAGTATAAGCAAGGTCAAGAAGTGAGCAAGTGAGGCCAAGTAGGCACAAGACCTAGCATTGTACAAAAATGTTGATGATCACAAGGCTGAAGTGCCTTGGTAAAGATATTAGCATTGTTGGCCCTAGAGGCCACGTAAGCAAGGCGCAGCGAACCACGCTGCAGCAGCTCACGAGCAAGGAAGTAGCGAAGAGCAATGTGCTTCGTTCTGTGCTCCAGTCTGTGCTCCCGACACAAGGCCAGCATGGCCTTGTTGTCTACGTACAGGACTGGAGGAGAACGAGGCGGCTCTCTGAGGTTAGTCAGCAGGTAGGTGAGCCAGCATAACTCCTGTGCAGCCATGGCCCCCGCGTAGATCTCAGCCTCACAGCTGGAGCCGAGAACAGAAGACGAGCGGGTAGACTGTCACGAAACAGAGCCGGGACCAAGGCTGAAGGTGTAACCCTGTGACGACCGCTGCGTAGCCTGGTCGTCAGCCCAAGAAGCGTTTGCGTGACCAGTAAGGACCACTGGACGTCGCCCTCCAAGCACGAGCCCCATGCCCGACGTACTGCACAAGTAGCGCAACACCCTCTTCGCTACAGCCATTTGCTCTGGTCGGTGTCTCCCAGGAGCAACATAGCGTGCCAAGATGCTAAGAGGGTATGCCTGGTCAGGTCGCGTGCAGGCCATCAGGTACATGAGGCAGCCAACAAGCTCTGGGTATGGGCCACTCGGCTCTACGGACTCCGAAGGAAGAGCCGAGAGCGAGTGGCGAGTAGACAGAGGAGTGGCCTGAGGCGAGGAGTACGTGAAGTCGAAGCGCTGAAGGACCTGCTGCACCATGTGTGACTGAGTAAGGGTAATGGTGCGCTGTGACCTGTCCCGAGTTATCTGCAAGCCAAGGTAGCTTCGCAGTTCACCCAGGTCAGTGCACGTGTATCTCTTCTGCAGCTCGGACTTCACGTGGGCGAGTCCAGCAGTGTCAGCTGTGGCAAAGACCAAGTCGTCGACGTACACGAGGATATAGAACGGCGGCAAAGAGGTGTCGGTGCGCAGAAACAGCGACGGGTCGGCAGTAGACGGAGCAAACCCAAGAGCCGCAAGTGTAGTCCTCAGTGTGTCGTGCCACTCACGGGGCGCCTGGCGGAGACCGTAGACTGGCCGCTGGAGGCTCCACCGGGTACCAGGAGGAAACGACCCAGTGAAGCCAGGTGGGCGGCGCAGCCAGATCTCCTCGTGCAGGCTGCCCTGTAGGAAAGCAGTGCTGAAGTCAAGAGAGTGAAGCTCGTAGTCACACTTAGCGGCTATGTGCAGCAGCACCCGAAGAGTGATCATCTTCGGGGTGGGAGAGAAGGTCTGAAAGTAGTCAACTCCCTGCCGTTGACTGAAGCCTCGAGCCACGTAACGTGCCTCGAAGACAGGCGGAGAACCCGGCGGCCGCTTCACCCTGAAAATCCACATGCCACTGACGATGTTTGCCCGAGGTGGGGGAACCTCGTCGACGTAGGTGCCTGTGGACTTCCAGGAAGCCATCTCTGTGTCCATGGCTGCCTGCCACTGAGAGGAGTAGGGACCCTCTATCGCCTCTGCGTAAGAGCGCGGAGTCGAGATGTCTGGTGCATCCGGGTGTCCCTCAGGTGCAATCAGCATGGACACGAGATGAGGTAAAGCAGCAACAAAACACTGGAACTCCTCCTGCCTGTCCTCAAGGACGTCCGTGCCAAGAGCAAACTCACCCCTGACGGACGGAGGACAGACAGACTCAGACTCAGCAACAAGACTAGCGGCGTAGTCCAGACGACAGTGAGCAGCGAAGTCGACAAGCTCAGCAACTAAGGCAGACGCAGAAGTAGACTCAAAGGAAGGGTCAGTGACAACAGTAGCAAGGAGACGCGTGACAGTAGGACTGGCAGCACGAAGGGAGTCCGACTACGGGTCAGCAAGAGCAGGAAGAGAAGACTCGGGAGGAGACGGCAAAGGGACACGTAGTGGAGCAGTGGAAGGACGCAGTGCCATCTCGTGCGTGCCTGGGACCGCAGGAGGACGCTGACGCGGAACACGACGACTACTGCGAGCAGCACGAACAGGCGACGTAGGACGAGACGTAGGCTCACGACGCTCAGCAAGACCTCCAGTAGGACCAGTGTAGGGAGAAGGAGGAGGGAGTGGGGAGGCGGGCTGGAACTGTGACTTGGACTGGACAGGCGGCGGACACCCAAGGGAGGACGGAAGACCAAGAACCTGCTCAAGGAGCGGAACGAAGTACGGCCGCGGCCGCGCAGTGTCCCCAGAACCAGCAGAAACACCACCAGCACCCCCAACTGCAGCACCTGCGCAACTAGCACCCGCAGCTCCAGCAGCGCCAACACCCTTAGAAGCACCAGTGCCAGAAGCACCTCCAACGCCAACACCCCCAGCAGCTCCAGCTCCAGCCGGACCACCTAAAGACGCAGTAGCTCTAGCTCCAGCACCTCCAGCAGCACCTACTCCAGCAGCACCACCAGCGCCAGGACCGCCAGCAGCTCCAGCACAAGGAGCACCCCAAGGCATAGCAGCTCCAGTACCTCCAGTTAGAGCACCTCCGGGACCAGTGGCACAAGCACCCTCAGCAGCAGTAGAACCTCCAACTCCAGTAGCACCTCCAGCTCCAGCAGCACGGCTCCAGCGCCGAGCAAACCACTCGCGCGGCTCCTGTGGAGAGAGCAGCTCCCGCCGGGACGAAGCACCTGAAGGACCTCCAGGCCCAGTACCGCCAGACTCCACACGAGCAGGCCCAGCACCCTCAGGCTCCGCACCCCAAGTCTCAGCACCCCCAGGCCCAGCACCCCCAGGCTCAGCACCCCCAGTCTCAGCACCCCCAGGCCCAGCACCCTAAACCCTGCACCCTTAGGCTCAGCACCCTCAGCAGCACCAGAGTCAACAGGTACCTCGACAGGCTCGACTGCGTCTACCTGGGACACACCTGAGGGGGCAGTACCCTGAGGGGGAAGGGGGTCTACCTGGGGGGGACCTGGCGCGAGGAAGAGCGGCGGCAGGGGGGGGGGGGGGGGGGGGGATGCCGTGCGGTAGGGGAAGAGACGGTAGTAAGAAATCGACTCGTCAAACGTGGCGTCCTGGGAGGACAGAACACGGCGTGAGGTGGGGTTGCAAAACTGCCAACCAGGCACGTCAGGGGGGAAGCCAAGGAAGACGCAGGGAACAGCATGGGGGGACAGCTTGTCCGAAGACAAGTCGCGGACTGAGCTGGAGACGAGCTGCGTGGATCCAGTCAATCAACACCTCAGTGACATCACCTTTGCTGCGCAAGGGGAAGACTGTGGTGTAACGCGAGTAGTCGTCAACCACCAGCAGGAAGTAGCGCTCGTGACCCTGTCCACGGACGCGGGCTTGGCCCCACACGTCCATGTGAAGCGTTTGCAGCGAAGCCTCTGTCGGAGAAAACTCGGAGGAGTGAGGAGCGGCGCGCTGCCGCCCCTCGACACAGAGAACGCAGGTAGGGGCAGGCCCCGGAGGAAGAGGAGGGAGGGACCGGGGGAGACCAGAGACAAGGACACGGCAGGCCATGCCTCGGAGATGAGGCAGGGAGGGGTGACCAAGGCGGTGGTGCCAGAGGAGAGTCTGGTGAGACAGGAGACGACACGAGCAGGGGGCAGACTCAGGACGCAGCTACCTGACCAGACGCAGCAACCGGAGGAGACTCAGTAGTCAGTGTGTACAGGCTCGACCCTGGCCGACGAGTAAACGTGGCCAAGTGTCGGCCCGTCCGAGCACACGTACAGTGGGTCACTCGCTGACTCGCAGGAGTGAACTGGTGAACCCCCCCCATCCTGTAGATCAGTACCACTCACCAAGTTCGTAGAGAACAAGGGGAGGTAAAGACCAGACAGGGTGCCAGAAGGGGCCGCCGGACACGGTAAGACAGTGGAGAAGTGGGCAAGGACAGGACCCCCAGAGGGGTCTGCCAGGGAGACCGCAATTGGCCGATGAAGCGGCGTGAGTGTGGTGCGGTCTCGAAAGAAGAAGCGGGAAGCACCCGAGTCAAGGGTGAAGGTGTGGAAGGCCTGAGCCGACGTGGTATCTGAGGGAGCAGACGCACCAGCACCTGGGGCAGCGGACGCACTAGCACCTAGAGCAGCAGCCTCACTAGTTCCTGGAGCAGCAGCAGCCCCAATGCCCGGGTCAGGCGGAACACACAGGTAATAGTCACCCTCATCACTAGTACACACAGCATACATGGCAGCAAGAATAGCATCATAATCAAGATCAGAGATAGCAACCCCCGACCTAAGCAGCGCTGGGCGGTGTGCGGGCCACCGCACTGCTCACCAGTGCGGTCGCCGGTACGCAGAACGTAGGCATGAGGACCAGCACCTCCACCCCGCTGACACATAGCGTACCACTCACGAAGCTGCTGGGGGGGCGGGGTCTCACGAGTGCGCTGCTGCTGCTGGCCCTGACCACCAACGGAGCCGCCCCTCTGCGCAGAGCCACCCCGACTAACTCCACCACTACCGCCGCCACCTCCACCACCGCCGCCACCGCCGCCTCCTCCGCTCCCACCGCCACTGCCACCGCCGCCGCCTCCGCCTCCACCGCCACCACCGACGCCCCCACCCCCGCCACCACTCCCACCGGCACCCCCATCCCCTCCGCCGCCTCCACCACCACCTCCACCGCCCCCGCCAGCCCCTCCAGCACCCTTGCCCCCCTTGTCCTTGCCTGTGCGGCGTCTCCCACTAGGGGCAGAAGTAGAGGCAACAGAGGGCAAAGGGGGGGATGGGGAGCACCCCTCAAAGAAGGGGGTACGAGGGTCATCACGAGAGGCTCCAACAGCGACTACACTCTTCTCAGCTGCCAGGAGGCGCTCCTCAAGGAGGTCAACGGTGAGTGTGGTGGGGCAAACAGAGAGGAAGTGGTCCCAGACCGAGCGAAGGGAGTCAGGGAGCCGGGTGACTATATAGTAGAGGGTGATGTACATGGGCGGGGGGTTCTTGGCGCAGAACTCAGCAGGGAGCGCAGCGTGGTAGCGGGTGTCGCTAGTGCGAAGGTGCGTAACGAGGTCAGCGACTGTGGGAAAGGCAGCGAGGTCAGGGAACAGGTACGGCAGCATGAGGCGGCTAAGGGCAGCGGTGGCAGGGGAAGAGTAGCGTGCAACTACAGCATCGTACAGGGTCTTAGCACTCTTGTACTGACTAAAATGCGCACGCTCATTGGCCGGCAGCAGCAGCATCGCGTGTGGCCCACTATGAGTGAGCAGCGCTGTCAGTATCGGCAGTAGGGGCAGTAGAGGTGCCAGACGTGAGATCGAACAGTGAGAGACCGTCTTTTCTATCGCACTGCACGAACAGCTGCATATCATCTACCCATACCTCAAAGTCGACAGCCCGACCCTCAGCATCAAAGGTGAGAACGTTAGGGGTAGCCATGACAGCAGCAGCAGTGGCAGGCTAGCAGCAGGAGCAGCAGGCAAGGAGCAGCTCAGTGGCAGAGGCGCTGCTCGGCGGTGCTCTTACCAGGGCGGTGGGTAGAGGTACGAAAGTGGTGGGGCGAGGCCGAGGCGCGCCAGCACAGACAGGGCCGCGACAGGGCGGAAGAGAAGGGCCGCGCCCCAGCTGCCGGGCATGGCCGGGACGGCGGCGGCGGCGTCTGCTAGCGGCGACAGCGGCTGCGGCCTCGGCAACGGCGGCGACGGCGGCTGCTGTCGACGGCGGCGGCTGCTGCGGCCCTGGCAGCGGCTTCGGCGGCTGTAACGGCGGCGGCGTCGGCGGCTGCCGCTGTAGGCGGCGACGGCGGCTGCGGCCCCTTGGCAGCGGCGGAGGCGGCTGTCACGGCATCGACGGCGGCGGCTGCTGCTGTCGGCGGCGGCGGCGGCTGCGGCAAGGCCGTGAAGGGGCCGCGAAGGGCGGGGATAGGGCCGAGAAGGGGCCGCGAGGGGCCGCAAAGGGGCCGAGAGGGGGTCGCGAAGGGCCGTAGAGGGGCCGCTAAGAGGCCGCGAGGGGCCGTGAAGGGCGGCGACGGGGCCGCTAGGGGCCGCAAAGGGCGGCGACGGGGTCGCAAAGTGGGCCGCGAGGGGCCGTGAAGGGCGGCGACGGGGTCGCGAGGGGTCGCGAAGGCCGGCAATGGAGCCGCGAGGGGCCGCAAAGGGCGGCGACGGGGCCGCGAAGGGGGGGGGCGTGAGGGGCCGGGAGGGGCCGCAAGGGGCCGCGAAAGGGCGGCGACGGGGCTGCGAAGGGGCCGCGAGGGGCCATGAAGGGCGGCGACGGTGCCACGAAGGGTTGTGAGAGGGGCCGCGAAGGGGCCACCAAGGGCCGTGGGAGGGGCGCGACGGGCCGCTAAGGGCAGGGGACGCGACGGGAAGGCGGCACACTGGGCGCGACTAGGTCAGGGGTGAAACGCGCTCCGGGCAGGTAAAAAAAAAATGATTTTCAGTGGTGGGCCCTAGGAGACGTTCCCACTAGGGAACCTGCTCTATACCATGTGAAAGAATGAGGAATGAATGAACTAGGAAACAGGTGAGTACAAGTATGAAAACCCTAAAAGTGTTGTACCTTATATTGTCTACCCCACTACAGCCTACACAGACTACAGCATATAAGTTTGACAAGTGTTTGTTAGTTTGTTAGGATTAGTGAAAGTAACGCCTACTCAAGAATGTCGAGATTTAGATTAAAGATTGATCTTAAACTACCTTGTTTTTGTGAGCATGCCTTCGTTTTTGCTACCTTGCTTTTTCTACCTCTGTTTTGTTGCTTACTCAGGCTTCCGTATGCTTTTTCCTTTCCTTCTATCTCCATCCGCTAATCTTATCTCTTTTTTCCAATTCCCTTCGTCCTTGTGTCTCTCTTTCGTTTCCCCTCTTCTATCCTCTCGCTGGCGTCGATCTGCTGGTGCTTGGCGCGCTGGCGACATTTTGCTTGTGCCAGGCGCGCTGACACAACCACGGTATCCATCTCGAGGCGTGCTGACCGCGGCAGCTGCAGCAACGAAGATGGCAGAATTTGGTGAGAGAAGAGCGTGGGAAAGACACAGAATCAAAGAGGGAGTGGGGAGGGAATGGAGAAGAGGATGAGTGCGGGAAATTAGGAGATTAGAAGAGAAGTTTGTAGTAATATTCGTTTGCCCCTTCTAAATAAAATGTTTGTTTTTTACCGTCTCGGCCAAAGCCTCTGAATCCGAAAAGCATCGCAAACGTTTGGGCCATCTTTTTGCGGCGGGATTGTAACTGCCTTAGGGTTTGTGTCTCTATTTTCCCTCCCACCTTTCATTTCGCTAGTGGGGCTTGGTTGATACCCGCCTGCTAGCCATGCTCTACCTACAACTCTAAAGTGAGAAAGATTCTAAGCTATCAATTAGAACGAACTTAGATGATTATAACTTAGACTAGGTTTTCGCTATCTCGTTCCTAGTCGTCTACTTTGAGAAGAAACGAGGAATGAGATGACTAAGGGAAAGTTGGGTACAAGTACAAACCCTAGAAAGTTGTACCCCATATGTGCTACCCCACTATAGCCTACAGCAGCTAACTCATAAAAATCTGACACACCCCCATAGGCAAAGTGGGGGAGAACAAGGGGTCACAAGACCAGTCAAGTAAAGCAAAGCAAGCTCAGGGTGGATCACAACGTCACCACACATTCTGAGCACAAGTTCAAGGCCACAAGGCCAGTTCACATGCAGGATTACATATATATATATATATAAGGCTAGACAAGCAAGAGCAGGTGTATATATATATGTAACAGTACAAACGAGGTCAAAGGGTGAGCAAGTGAGGTAAGATAGGCACAAGACCCAACTGAGTACAGAAGCGCTGATGATCACAAGGCGCAAGTGCCTTGGTGAAGATATCAGCAGTGTTGGCCTGAGAGGCCACGTACGCAAGGCGCATCTGACCACGCTGCTGTAGCTCACGAGCAAGGAAGTAGCGAAGAGGAATGTGCTTCGTTCTGTGCTCCAGTCTCTGCTCCCGACACAAGGCCAGCATGGCCTTGTTGTCTACGTACAGCACTGGAGGGGAACGAGGCGGCTCTCCGAGGTCAGTCAGCAGGTAGGTGAGCCAGCGAAGCTCCTGTGCAGCCATGGCCCCTGCGTAGATCTCAGCCTCACAACTGGAGCCGAGAACAGAAGACGAGCGGGTAGCCCGCCAAGAAACAGAGCCGGAACCAAGGCTGAAGGTGTAACCCTGTGACGACCGCTGCGTAGCCTGGTCGTCAGCCCAAGAAGCGTCTGCGTGCCCAGTGAGGACCACTGGACTCTGCCCTCCAAGCACAAGCCCCACGCCCTACGTACTGCACAAGTAGCGCAACACCCTCTTCGCTGCAGCCATGGGCTCCGGTCTGTGTCTCCCAGGAGCAACATAGCGTGCGAGAATGCTAAGAGGGTATGCAAGGTCAGGTCCTGTGCAGGTCATCAGGTACATGAGGCAGCCAACAAGCTCTGGGTACGAGTAACTTGACTCTACGGACTCATCCGAAGGCAGAGCTGAGAGCGAGTGGCGAGTAGGCAGAGGAGTGGCCTGAGGCGAGGAGTACGTGAAGCCGAAGCGCTGAAGGACCTGCTGCACCATGTGTGACTGAGTCAGGGTAATGGTGCGGCGTGCTCTGTCCCGGGTGATCTGCAAGCCAAGGTAGCTGCGCAGTTCACCCAGGTCTGTGCACGTGTGTCTCCTCTGCAGCTCGGACTTAACGTGGGCGAGTCCAGCAGTGTCAGCTGTGGCAAAGACCAAGTCGTCGACGTACACGAGGATGTAGAACGGCGGCAAAGAAGTGTCGGTGCGCAGAAACAGCGACGGGTCGGCAGTAGAGGGAGCAAACCCAAGAGCCGCAAGTGTAGTCCTCAGTGTGTCATGCCACTCACGCGGTGCCTGGCGAAGACCGTAGACTGGCCGCCGGAGGCTCCACTGGGTGCCAGGAGGAAAAGTCCCAGTGAAGCTAAGTGAGCGGCGCAGCCAGATCTCCTCGTGCAGGCTGCCCTGCAAGAAAGCAGTGCTGAAGTCAAGAGAGTGTAGCTCGTAGTCACGGTGAGCAGCTATGTGCAGCAGTACCCGAAGAGTGGTCATCTTCGGGGTGGGAGAGAAGGTCTGAAAGTAGTCAACTCCCTACCGCTGACTGAAGCCACGAGCCACGTAACGCGCCTTGAAGACAGGAGGAGAACCCGGCGGCCGCTTCACCCTGAAAATCCACATGCCACTGACGATGTTCACCCCAGGCGGGGGAACCTCGTCAACGTAGGTGCCTGTGGACTTCCAGGAAGCCATCTCTGCGTCCATAGCTGCCTGCCACTGAGAAGAGTAGGGACCCTCTATCGCCTCCGCGTAAGAGCGCGGAGTCAGGATGTCAAGTAACTAGGGCAAACGCAGTAGTGGACTCAAAGGAAGGGTCAGTGACAATAGTAGCAAGGAGACGCGTGACAGTCGGACTGGCAGCACGAAGGGAGTCCGACTCCGGGTCAGCAAGAGCAGGAAGAGAGGACTCAGGAGGAGAAGGCAAAGGGGCACGCAGAGGAGCAGTGGACAGACGGAGAGACATCCGGTGCGTGCCGGGCACAGGGGGAGGACGCTGACGCGACCACGACCACTAGCGCGAGCAGCACGGACAGGCGACGAAGGACGAGACGCAGGCTCACGACGCTCAGCAAGACCTCCAGTAGGACCAGTGTAGGGAGAAGGAGCAGGCAGTGGGGAGGTCGGCTGTAACTATGACTGTGACGGGACAGGCTGTGGACACTGTAAGGGAGGAGGAGGACCAGTAGAAGGCGGGAGACCAAGAACCTGCTCAAGGAGCGGAACGAAGTATGGTCGAGGCCGCGCAGCGACTCCACACACAGCAGGGACAGCACCAGTACCCCTAGTGGTAGCACCAGTGCCAGCAGCAATTCCAACTCCAGTACCCCCAGCAGCTCCAGGACCTCCATCAGCTTCAGTAGCACCCCCAGCAGGACCGCCTGCAGTACCGCCAGCAGTACCCTCAGCGCCAACACCTTCAGTAGCTCCAACTCCAGTCGGACCACGAGAAGACACAGTGGCTCCAGCTCCAGTAGTACCCGCAGGCCCAGCAGCTCCAGTACTCCCAGTACGAGCACCTCCGTGACCCATGGCACCAGCACCCTCAGCAGCAGAAGAACCTCCAGCTCCAGCAGCACGTCTCGAGCACCGGGAAAACCACTCGCGCAGCTCCTGTGGAGAGAGTGGCTCCCGCCGAGACGAAGCATCCGGAGAACCTCCAGGCACAG